GGAATCCAGTCCCTCACTTATTCTCCATCATTTATCAATTATTCTAAAGGTGACCAAGAATCTGAGGTTCATGTTTTAATCCTGATCAAAAATGCCAGATAAAATCAGCACCACCACTCCTGATTTAAAATTCTAAATTCTGATATTCCAGCTGCAAATAAAAACCATTAACTGACAGAGAGAACACCTCTAAAAGACAATTTCCATGGAGTGGTTGTGTCAGTCTTGGAAAACAAAATTCAGTTGCTGGTTTATCCACATGGCAAAAGCAGAAGGCCACAAATTTCCTCCTTAATAACTTAAGCATGGGAAATTCAGGAAAAGTTTAGGAAGAATCAGAACAGGATTTGGAGCCTCAAAAAAACCACCTTGTATGAAAAAATAATTCAAAAATCACCTGAATTGCCCCTTCCATGAGGGGAAAAAAGAAGCACCAAGATATTCCTCAGAAACCTCCCCACTTCCAGGCAGACCCCAGGGCTGTCACACCCCAGGGTGGAAACTTTTCCAGTTTATCTCCAATTTACCAACACTCCAGAGCTGCTGGACCCCAGGACAAAGGGATCAAACACCACAAGAGCCACTGCTAAGATGCTGACAGGAGAAAAGCAAAGCACCACTTAAAGTAAATTTGGGGGTTTTAACCAACCTAAATGCAGTCCAACCTATGGTTTATAACCATCTCCAAGGAAAATGTGAATTTTGGGATGGCACAGACTTGACAGGAAGCAAAACCAACACCAAAACCCAAAGGACATTTGAGAGCTCCAAAGAGGATGGAGGTGTTTTGTGCCTTTCACTCCTGTGGTTTCATTCCACAGAATGGGAACGAGAGGACAATTCCCAACACGAGGACGATCCCTAAAATCTTTGTGCTTCACCAAGCGCTGTTTCCATCCCAAAAGCCTCTGGGGAACATGAGCAGAATCAGGAGCAGAGCAGGATGTGCTCGTGCAAGGCCAGCTCAGAGCCTCCCACCCAGCCCAGCCTGGGTTTGCCCCTCCTGGGACGTGTGCTGGTTCCTAGAGCTGCAAGCACAGAAATCCCCACAGGAAACCCCAAATCCCCACTGGAAATGCCACTCCTTCAACACCTCAGAGCCTCAGGATCGTTTACAACCACTGCAGGAAGGCCACTGTGCCAAGAGCATCTCCTGAGGCACCGGGGAGTCACCAGAGCACCCTGTGGGTCCATGGAGTGACCGTGAGCAAACCCAATGTTGGGATGTTCCATCTGCACATACCTACCGTTCCCCAGGTCAGAGGCACTGGAGCAGAGTTTGTGTGTGACTGGAGCAGGATGGGGTGAGAGCAGGGAGCAGAGCCCAGGCAGGGGCTGGAAGCCATGCAAACACAGAGCTGGGGCAGCACAGCCCTCCCGCCCCCAGGCAATGGGGACACACACACACACAGGGCTGGGACAGGGGAGCAGGGCTGGGCACAGCTGGGAGCGTGCAGGGGAACCTGTGGGACACAAACCAAGCCCACAGAGGGTCTGTGGGTCAGGGAATGTCCTTTGGAGCACGTGGGGGCCTCAGCAGTGCCAGGTGCTCACTGTGGATGCTCTGCCTTCGCTCCGGGCACACTGAGGGGTTCTGCCGCCTGCAGCTGCCCCATCTCCACACCCAACCCCATTTTCCTCCTCTCCACATTTCATGTCTGTGACCACCACCAGCTTTGGGGCATTCCTGGAGGCACCAAATCCACCTCAGTTTTAATTTGGCAAAACTAAAGAATTCTGGGGGTATTTAAGAGGCCAAAAGTACAGAGAGCAGAATTAATAAATCCTCTGCCTTCGCTCAAGAGTCGTGGTGTCCCTGTCAAACAGAGCAAAACCTGAGGAAGGTTTTACAGAATAAAACCAGCAGGAAAATCACAGCCCAGTGTGTGCTCTGCTGGCACTGACCAGAGGGGACAAAACCAAGCCAGAGTGGTTGAGAAATCAAAGGAGGAATAAATAAATCCACATAAACCCCAAATGTGGATGCGCTGTGCAGTGAGAACTGAGTGTGCAGCGTGCTCTGCTCGGGGACAGTGCTGCTTTCTGGAGGCACACAGGGCTCACAGCAGCAGGCAGAGAGAGGTTAAGAAGCACTTGAGGAGGGTTAGGGAAATGCAGACAATTCCTGCCACTCGGACCCAGGGCTGAGCTTACCATCACCTGGCTAATGAAGGACACCTGGAGCTTCTGCCTGGCAACCATGAAGGGGCAGCACTTATTTAGAAAGGATCCTCCTTACAGCCTTCACCGTTCAGTGATGAAACAGAAAATGGATTTTCAGACTCTTGTGATGCTCTGGAAGAATTCCCTGCACTTCTTTTCTCCAGGTGGGATTGTCCAGAGCAGCCAGCTGGGGCTCTTTCAGCAGCATCAGGCACTGAAAATGCACTTTCTTACACTGGGGCACCCTCAGATTCTGCCTGGGTTTAATTTCTTGCTGCTGGCAGGTAAAAACCTCCCCTTCAGAGGATCACACACTCCCCCAAGCTGTGATTTCCATCCGGGCCATGTGGATGTGTGAGGAGATACAGGCAGAGCAAGGAGAAGCAGCTGGCATGCAAGGGAGCGTGCTGGGAACCCAATCCCTGCCAGCCACCAGCTGCTCATTTCAAGAGCATTTTCTCCAGTGTTTTCTCTCACTGGGTGTGTTCTCACATAAAAAAAGGTCCTGATCTAAGTCAGTTTGGGATATTCAGTGTAAATATTTAATATTTAGTGCCCAGGTTTTTTCCTGCTGCAGGAGGCACTGAAATTGCCCCTTTGCTGCCCTCCCATCAGCTGCCCTGGCACCCTGGCCATTGCAAGGGGCTCTAGCCCCCAGACAAACACCACCCCGTGCTCCACCAGCAGCCTGATCCTGGCTCTGCTCACTGCAAAGGCAACTCAGCAGCTCCTGGAGCCCTGTGGGAGTGGGATGGAGGGCGTCGGTGATGCATGAGGCACACATGGAGCACAGCCAGACAACTATGGGGCAGTGATGGAGAAACCCAGCTCAAACACACACGAGAAGCAAGGCCTGTGGAAGCACAGAGTCCCTTACTTGAGGGGAGCTGCCAGGAGAGAAGCCTTGATTGGAGACAGGAGAGGTGGGAGACTGGTTGGCTGGGGAGCCAGCATTACTGCGGTACTGCTGGAGTGAGGCCTACAGAACAACACACAGTTAAACTCTGCACGGGGAGCCTGCAGAACACCAACACCTGCTGGGGTGAGGCCTACAGAACAACACACAGTTAAACCCTGCACGGGGAGCCTGCAGAACACCAACACCTGCTGGGGTGAGGCCTACAGAACAACACACAGTTAAACCCTGCACGGGGAGCCTGCAGAACACCAACACCTGCTGGGAAACCCCCCTGCCCAGCTCTGGGGGAAAACAGGGCTGTGTCACTGTGTCACTGTTCCCCCACGCTGGGGAGAGCCCTGGGACAGCTCGGGCACAGCCGGGAGCATTTCCTGCCTCGCTTCGAAATATATTCAACAAATCAGGGCAGCCAAGGATTTAGGGCAGAGAAGTCTTGGGAGCTGGGAATGGTTCAAAAGGAATGTCATTCGTGCTTCAGCAGCATGGCAGCCCCACGTGTGTGCTGCCCTGCCTCCAGCTGTGCTACCAGCACAGGGCAGTGATAACAGCTGGCTGACAAACCCGAGCCCAAACTCCCCAGGAATCCACGCTGTGCTCTGCAGCCTTTAGCTGGGGTTTTATACTCTCCTCAGCTGTCCTGAGAAGTGATTTTCCAGGATTTATTCCCATCATAAAGAACCCTGCTTTGGAACAAATTAATAATATTAATGGGATTTAAATAATGCTGCACTAATTAACATTAAGAGTAGCCCAGCTCTTCTTATCTTACTTCCATTAGAAGTTAAGGGATGACTGAGGAGAACCTGCACTCCAGAGAATTTAACCAGATCTGCAGCGCAGGAGAACTCTGCACTGCCAGTTTTTGACCCCAAATTCTGTAAATCCCAAGAAAATGTCTCTTTTTGCTCTGCACTGCCACTCACAACCTGTCAGAAGGTTGTACAAACTACAAACACATTTCAATTGTGCTTTACAAAACCTGTGCAGAAGTTGCCAGCGAGGCTGTGACAGCTCCAAAGGCTTTTTGATAAAGTGGCTTTAAATCTGTTTATTTAGGAATTACTTGAGTTGCTTTAGAAGATAAACACAGCAGCCTAAAAGTTCAGGTCATAAAGAGGTTTAGGATGAGGAAAGCAACACAGAAAGCAAAGGATGAGATCAGAATTGTCTGTGCTGGTGCTAGATGAGGGTTAGAATC